ATTTTCAAAACATTTTCATTCTACGTGAGCCGTTGATATCAGCTCATTTCCCCCTCCCCCATCCTCCCTCCCTCATTATTTCTTGATAATTTATAAATGGTTATTTTTATGAAATTTCTTAATATGGCTCTTCTACCCAAGTCTCTATAATTCCCACCAACTGATTGGGTGAGACTATGCAAATAGGGTATATGTAAAATTAATAGTGGGGATTGGCCAGTTTTCATTACCACCTAAAGATAAGCCGTCCTTGAAGTAGCAAAGAGAGAAAAACCTCGAGGACCTTCAAAAGCATGTCCAAATCCTCTTATCTAAAGTGGCACAGAGGCTCACAGCAGAGGAGCAGCCCTTAGACCATGGGGTAGAGGTACCTTCTCATCTGGCTTGAGACTATGGAACTGTGGGACAGAACACAGGCAGGCTGGCTTCCTGGCCCATGGAGGCAAAGGCCAAGGGCTGATAGACCAAGAACCACGACTGGAGAGGTAGGGTGGGATTAAGAACTGACCTTAGTAAAAGGTGTGAATTGAGTGTCCACACCTTTGGTTCCCTGGATGACTTCTTTCAGATCCTACCTTATTACCGGGTATGAACTGGGCTGCCCTGTTTGGTTCTCTGGTGGCATCTTTAAGGCCCCACCTTAGTATTGGCTGTTGTGAACCAAGCCACACCTTTTGTTTTCCTTGGATGTATAATGTGGCCTCTGTATAGTTCTACACATCATTACTTCACCTGGAAAGCCAAACCTCCATTTTTCGACTGAGCTTTGGTAGAAGCAAAGAGACCTATTGAGACTTTAGGACATTTTTGGCTTCTGGTTCTAGACCCTGTATTTGGCTCACCTCTGACCTTTGGATTTGGGACTAGATAGAACCCACTGCCATGTGAAACTTTACCTCAAAGTTTTATTAATTTTTATGGGACATTGCAGTGATTCATAGAACCCAGGGATGTGAGGGAATACAGTATACTCAAGGAAGTGTAAGGGCAGGGAAATGGAGCTGAGTAGCATCTTGGAGGGGTTGGACATTTGGGACACCATTAATCTCCAACTCT